TTTCCCTACCCTTTCTTGAAGGAGCTGGATAAATGATTAACTGAAAAGCACTCTGGCCTCAGCTTTTCAGGTGATAGATCTGGGAATGGGAGATGTTGCTCCGCTGCCGCTCGGTTTCGTGCTTTTTCCTGGATTACCCACTGAACCTTATGATCCCCTTTAATTGAATGCAAAACAATTCCGAGGGAATACGTTTCACTTTGAAATTAATGCCTGGTTTTGAGGGGAAAGGGACCGCGGTGGAGGAGAGGAGGGGGGAGGGGAGGAGACGAGAGGGGCAGGGGACACGCACACACACTTTCGCTATTTGTTCATTAAAATTAAAATAAGAACCGGGTCTTTCAGTGGCAATTGGTCAGACGTTGTCCCCGGACTTTCTAGTTTTGGCCAAGTCAGACCAAATCACCAGTTACAACAAAGTCCTGCAGGTATAAAGGACAAAGAACTTTTTCCTCATTTCAGGCCGAGTAGGCAGATAAAAAGATTTGAAGGCAGTTTGATAGCTGATTAGTAATAAGTTTGACCACGAGGTATGTTAGTAAGAAATATAGGAAATATTTCTTCTGATTCATTGTTTGACTGACCGACTGTCGTGTTAATCGCTAGGGTTATTGTAACGATATCCATAGCTTAGCGCCTAGTTATTCAGCTGTTTTCAGGACATAGTTCTATTTGGTTTTCGTGTTGCTGAAATGCTCTTTTATTTCCATCTCCTCTTGACCATGTGCGTTTGAGCGCCTTTTCACGCGTTTGTGGAGAGCAACCCAACAGAGAGCATCACCACCACGAAAAAAAAAAATCCAAACCCTTAGACTTAATGTATGCACAGAAAATTGTAAACATGTAAAGAACTGAAAGCTTCACGCTGAGTTTCGCCATGCTCCATTTCCCCACCATTTCCTGCTGTCGTTTTAAAGCGATCTCACTCATCTAGAGATCCCGTTTGCAGGAACAGTATGCTCATAATTACTAACAAATCAAGCGGCTACTGTTGCTCTCCCGGTTTATTGATAAGCTGAAGAGAAATGGAAAGGGGAGAAGTGACAAAGGGGCTGGAAATAACCACAGGAGAAAATAAAAAGGGAAGGAGAGAGAGAGAAAGAAAGAGAGAGAGAGAAAGAGAGAAACAGAAAAGGAGAAAGAAGAGAAAAAAAAAAGAAGAGAGGGATAGACAAAGAAAGAGAGAGGGCAGATATTTTGTAAGGTGAAATTATGTGTTTGTGAATGCTTACACAGAGTAAATAGAGTTTGGAGGTGAAAGAAAATAAGATAGTTTCTGTTGGGGATAACAAGAATTAGAAGTGCTGAAGTTAAAGCAGAAGTGGTGGAGATGTTGCGTTTATCCGTGTGTGTTATTCTCTATTATTTTAGGAGTTATGGCAATCCCTAACCAACTGGGGAAGTTGACATTGACTAAAAAGACACTCTACATTGCAGTTTATTTACATACACGCAGGGATTTGACACATGCAGCTGCACACACGGCCGTGTATATCCCTTCACTCACTAAAACTTCTACATTATGTTATCTCTGGTAATGCCTGGGCTGGATCTGAAAAAAGCTATAGCCATGATAAACATATAGATATGATATAGATAGAGATAATTCATGCCGTGGCAAACACTTTTTTTGAGGCAGCATTAGGTAATTTACAGAAGATATAGAGTCTAGATAGAATACATCTCTCTGAAGCTATGAAATCGCAATAGATATGCTTACACCGCCTGGTAAGCCTCTAAAATTGGTTTAGAATTATTAGACTTTGATGAGGATGTTCATACAGTCCTTTTTTGGGGAGGCAGCGGTAGGCAGAAAAGCTGAGGAGCTCTCAGCAGAGCTGGGAAGGGAGCCAGTCTGCTTTCCAAAAGCAATTGAAAGGAAAAAAAAAAAGACCCACCAAACAAACAAAAAAAAACCTCCACCGAGCACGTGAAAATCCATATTTCAAAGGTTAACTAATGTAATGAGTGCTCCAAAAGGCCAAAGCGAGCGGGGGGGAGAAACATTTGGGTATTGCACGGGTCCCTCTCTCTTTAGTGAGTTTGGACTAAGATCAGATGTTGGTGGAATTGCTGCCTCTTGTTTAATTTCTCAGTTCACTGGACAGTGACCTGATAAACTGGTCACTAAATATAGCCACTGTGAAGGTGTACTGGAACCACTGAGCCTGTGTATTTGTCCGAAGGAGAAAAAAAAAAGTGCCAGTCATGAAAATCTGTCTGGTGGCACTGCTTTAATGTAACGCTTTTTTATTTTTTTAACTTTTTCTTGATGCTTTACTCGAATGATGTTGCAGAACATTGTGTGTGAAATAAGAGATATATCTATGTATAGTAGGGGGAAGATAGATATATATATATCTCTATATCTATACACACACACACATATACGTGTATGTGTGTGTATATATGTGTATATTAATCTGCCAGTATTATCTCTGATACTCCAAATGAGTCTTTTCCTATAGAATCAATGGCAAAAAAAAAATCCTATTAATAGTGACGAAAGCAGGAGTGGGCCTCCAAGTCTTTTATAACTGTTTCTGTGCCATTCTCAAACTATTTGAAACTGCCTTTATGAGCTGCATTAAGTGCCTAACTAAAGAAATAGGAATCCATTTCACTTTCCGATTCCCTGAAGTAAAGCCACTCAAAATAATTTGTTTATACTGGAGCCTATATACAAGGCATATGAAGCAATATGTATATCTAAAATCGACATGCCTTTTTGGTTTTTAGCTGTTATAGAGCTTTTATTGTGGGGGTCTGGTCTGGCAGTAGGAAATGATCTGTAATAAAAACAGTGAAACACGGTTGTGTCTATCCCATACTCTGAGGTTATAAAATTGGCAATTGCCCAGTAGTTAGCACTTGGTAATATATTAGGATACCCGATCTTATTGTTTAGCAGCTCCAGACGACTTAAATATCCCCTCAACGCTAATGGTTTGATTCTCCAGATATGTTGCAAATAAACAGGGTTTTTATGACTTAACTGACATGTATTATAACTACCTAAATAGCTGGCATATGTGCATAATAGAACCCTATTATTTGCCGAATTGGTTTTGCAATTGATTGAGTGGAAATGGGAGACTGGGAAGCAAGATCTGCTCGACGAGGGTGTGTAATCAATTATTCTTCTCCTCTGATACATGCCCGGACTCTGCCACCAGCAAACCTCCAATTTAGGAGTATATTTTCTATAAGGAGAGGCGTGTTTGCCATGATTTCGAGAGGAAGCAGCAGTAGCAGCTGTCAGCTCTTATTAACTCCTGCATAAAACATACCTTAAGTACGGTTTGTTATCAATTACTTGCAGAAATGAAACAACTGGGAAAATGCAGCGAGGCTCCCTATAAATTAAAGCTATTGGGTGATTGATTAGAGCACCTGCTGTAAATCATAACAGTTACATGCAATTATGAGGGAGCTATTTAAGTTCATTTGTAAACAAAATTCATGTCACAGGGGAATTGCTCTCATTTTGAGTTTACGCTTTTTTTTATTTATTTCTGAGTGTGTCTGGTTGCTATTATAGGAATTTGTTCATTATAATCCCCTTGGTTACTCTTAAAATAAGAGTAGTTTCTCAGAGAAAGAAATATTTCGTTTTATCCTGGACAAAATAACATGTTTTTATTTTATTTAGTTTTGCTTTATTGTTCTGTTTTGACTTTCCTTCCCTTCCCTCATAATTTCCTTTAAATATATGTTACAATAATTAGACCAGCTTTATTTAGGGGAGGGAGAGTTCCCATTACTTCACGGACAGCACAATAAGATCAAGGTGGCAAACGCCATGGTTAGACCAGATTTTTTTTTCTGGTGTTCATTTTTCTGAAGGAAAAGACTCATTTTATTTCATAAACCAGACTTAATAAAACCACAAAGCAATAACAGAGCTGTCTTCTGGTTGCTGTATCCTCCAGCCTTGATACTTGTTTAAGAAAGCAACTCCCTTCATCTAGTGATTTTATTCCTGGCTCAGCTTAACAGTAATGGAAACATTAGCAAAAAAAAGTAAATTTTCCTTTTTTTTCCCCTCCAGAAAGGCGCTGTCCGTTGTACAAAAGGCATCGGGGGGCTCTGGGTGAGACACAGGCTCAAACCCGAAAGTTGCCAGGTGCTTGCCAATATGTATTTTATTTCCCAATGATCAAACCCCGCATAGAGGCTGTACTGCACCACCCTTCTCTCCATCCATCATTCATGGAGCAGTTTCCTAGAGGTTGGGGGAGCAGCACCCTTTAGGTTGCTGGAAGTAGCCAGAGATTCAAAATTCCCTTTCATTTTGCTGTTCTGTGCATGTCAGAGAGACTGTGGTTACCCTGTACCCCTCCGTGTTGTGATGATTTTTCTCTCTCCCCTCTTCCCCTTTTCTTTCTCCAGTTCCGGTTCCTCCAAAATCAGTTACTTCTTTGATGATGAATAAAGATGGCTTCCTGGGTGGAATTTCAGTCAATACCGGCGAGGTGTTTTGCTCTGTACCTGGCCGCTTGTCTTTGCTTAGTTCAACTTCAAAGTATAAAGTAACTGTGGGAGAAGTTCAAAGACGCCTTTCTCCTCCAGAGTGTCTGAATGCATCCCTCCTAGGAGGAGTCCTTAGAAGGTAAGAGGCTGGGTCGAGTGCATGGACATGCCCATGTGTGGGCATCCATGCATGCACCAGAGATATTTGATTGATGGTAAAGATTGTTGCAAATATGTATTGATCTTATTGCCATAGGATTTGTGTGTAACATTCAGGGTGAGGTGAAAAGACGCTGTATTCAGTCATTGAGATGAATACGTGGAGACCAGAGAAAGATTTGACCTTGTATATTTTCTGTCAAAGCATCTCCAAATGAAGGAACTGAGACAATAATTTTTTTCACTCTTGTGCATAGACACACTTCCTACCTGTTCTTTTTCTCCTACTACTTTTCTCTTAGCAAATGGACAAAAGAAAATGCCATGAAGGCTGTATTGAAGTTAGATGTTGCAAGATGAACTTGCTGTATTTCAGGACTTGATTAATGTCTTTCTAGGGATTTCCTAGATAAATCCCTGAGGTTCCCTGATAAGGCAATTAACATGATCCCACATAGGACATTACTGAAATTGACAGGGGATTAATAGTCAACCTGTAAGGTAGGTAAGTACCTGACTGAACAAAAACCATCAACAGATAGCTTTGAAAGTCAGAAACTTAGTGCTTCATCTAGAGAAGGTTGCTACAGGAATTGCTTACTGTTGGTCTTGAGGCCTTTGCTGTTTAACATTTGTGCAAATCACCTGCTAATGGTGGATTTTGCTAAGTACCTCAGAATAGCTGATGTTGTTGGTACTGAGGAAAACGAGGAGCAAGGAATAACTTGGAGACCTGGTTGCCATTCCATCATGTCAAGTAAGAGATGGTACATTTAGGTACCAGCACCAGGAAATTAAGCTCTGAGGTCATCAACTGTAAAGACTAGCAGCAGAAAGGCCTTTATCTTCTTGACAGTGACTGAAAGACTATAAATTGTCAGCATGGATTGTCTGTAAGAAAGATGAGCTAAGACTCTATCTCCAGTCAGAACAGAGAAGAAGTCATTATATGTTATGAAATACCAGTTCATTGAAGACAATGAAGAGCTGAGAGTATAATCCAGACTGGAATGCATGGCTTTGAGACAGAAACAAAATTCAATTAATTTGGCCCTGGATAAATTTCAGATTGCGTTTAAAAGTTGCTAATCTTAGAGGGGGGAATATCTTTCCAACTTCTGTAGCAGCAATTGGGCAACGTTGACTGTAAGGCATTTTAAAATGAAGTTGTTGTTTGGTTTGGGGTTTTTGCTTGTTTTGGTTTTTTTTTTGCATGTTTGGGTTTGTTTTGTTGGTCGTGGTTTTTTTAATGTAAAAAAAAAACTCTGTTATTATGTCAGGGGCTCCAGCTCCGTGTCTGGAGACGAGAGGGAAAGTCCTGCTACATGCAGTCAGTCACCCAAAAATACACGTGAGAATTAAGGTCTCCTAAAATAGACACTGCTCCATGTGAATGTCTGTAATCAATGTTCAGCTGTGATCCTTGCCAGTGAGAGCAGCAGAGAATTGTTACTTACAGATGCTAACCTGCCTGCTCATTCTGTACAACTACAAATGGAGCAGGGAGGCCATCTGAGAGATGCACTGTAGAAAATATAATTATCAAGGTAAAGAAACATCATTATTGAACTTCAGTGGTTTTCTGGAGATGGCCCAAGCTATAATCATTGGTTGCTGCTGACTTCAGTTCCTATCTTGGATCTAAATTTTAGACAAGCTTTTGGTTCAAAGCAGATGAAATACAGAAAGCTGCTCTCTTGCAGTTCTGTCACCTAACCCTGTTTACTTTGATATAAAATAGTGGAAAGCCAGACTGGCTTCTCTGCCGTTTCTGCTCTCTTTTTACTAAGTGTGACTGCTAATTCTTAAACAAAGTTTAAGTAAACACTAAGGGATATATGGGATAGACTCTGATCTTAGGTGTCAAAACTCTCCCTGATTTCGCAGGTAGCAAGATTTCAAACCTGGGGGGTTTACATATGTATCGGCGTCCGAACAATAGCTCTGTATTTCCTCCCCTATAGCTCACTCATCCTTTTATTGTCCTTATCAGTAACCTCCGACAGATATTCAAATCTTCCTTCAGGCACTCAGTTCCCTCTCTGTAACGCACCCTGCCCTCAGGTGCGCTCTTCCTCTCAGCATCACCTCTCCGCACAAAAACACACTCACGAAATGGTTTAATAAATATTTTCCTCCTTTTCTAGTTATCCACAGGCACACATATTCTTCCCATTCTGGCTCTTTCCTGGAATAATCGAGGTTTTAATTCTCCTCCTGCCCGTTTCCTCCCTCCATCCTAATACAAGTTGGTGTTATGCAGTAGGAGCCCATTTAATCTCTAGATCAGAACCCTGTCCATTAATTATTGCTATCTGACATGATTTGATTTCCCTGGATAAAATAAGGAGAAAAGTGGGTTCATCCCCACTCTCACCCTTGGGAGAAATTAAGCAAATTTCAGCAAACCCGAGCAGAAATCAACACACCTAAATTCGGGGGAAAAACCCTCCCAGGCTCCACCGACTGCACAGATGAAACGTTTCTTCCAGAAACACTGCGGGGATTAATCATTATGTTAATTTCTTTGCCATTCTAGAGCCAAATCGAAAAACGGGGGGAGATCTTTGCGAGAAAGGCTAGAAAAAATCGGTTTGAATTTACCAGCCGGCAGGCGTAAGGCTGCAAATGTCACTTTACTCACCTCCCTGGTGGAAGGTAAGCCGGGCGTCGCAGTTCCCTTCACACCCCTGAACTCCTGTCTGACATTTTACCAACTGGGAAAAAGAAAGAAAAAAAAAAGAGACTAGAACTTTTCGGGATCAGGTGGGAAAACCTTGCAGAGGTGAAATTCGGGGCGGGTGAGGATGTACATCCCCAAAAATGAAGTCACTGGCTGGAGGGTTACTGATCCCTCTGGATGGCAAGAATGAGGGGCGGTGTGAGTGTTTGTCTATGTGTGTATCTCTGTGTATATATGAGTGTGTCACTCTGCAGGGCAGTCCCATTCCTCATTGCTATTAATTTCCAGCCTGCGCTCCCCTACACCACGGTCCCGCTAATTCGCTCTTCTTGAGCTTATTTATGGCCACTACAGGACGCTCACTGAGGAAAAATAATACATTTTTCAAATTTTATTTTTCTTTTTTTTTTAAGAAGCCAGAGCAATTTAAGTCACAGAGGGCAGGCTGGAACCGAACAAAGAGAGGCAGGAGAGAGGGAAAGGGAGGCTGAAGTTTCACCTCATTTCAAGTCATTTTGTTGTTCAGCATGTTTCTTTGATTTGTTGTTCCTGTATCGAAAAGTAAAATTTAGAGGCACTAATATGTATAGGATATGTGTGTGTTTATACTAAGAGAAATTGGATCTTCTCCAAAAGACATCACCGGAATAGTATGGATGCAATTATGAATTATATGTATCTACATTACACATACACACCGAGAGGCGTATAAATAATCCACTTATCTCTTCTGCATATAAGCATGCATAAACATTTAGGCTAGATATTAACTTTTCAGCTCTTTTGATTGAGTTATGTGAGTGATAAGACCTTACCACATGCGGAGCTGAAGGCAAACTCTCAAAAAGACGGGGACTGAGAAAAACGAGCTCTTCCTGGTACCCACACAGAGGTTACACCGAGTGTGCAAAGCACGTCGTAGGTTACGGTTATAGGGTCCCGCTACAGGAGATGTGAAGCACTTCAGGTGGGACACAAAGTTTAGTGCGGCTTTCCCCCATACCCCCCAGCTGCATGTTTGACAACCGCGGCACCCTGCTCATGGCAAAATAACCACCTCCCCGAAAGTGGTTTGATGTTATGTGTGGTTGTGATGTGATGCTAAAATCTGTCAAGTGTGCAGGAAGGTGCACATCACTCTCTTCTCCCCTTATTTCCTTTCAAATCAACATTTACCTTGAGAGAGCTCCCTGTTTTTTCTGGAAAAGTCTGCACCTGCTGGAGAATTTTTTTTCTCTTCTTATCCCCTCCCCGTCCCCCCAGGCAGGCTTTAACATCGTTGCTATCGTATCGCCTAAAGCAGAACCGCTCCGGCCAGCCCCGGCTGAAATCACCCCAGGGTAACATGCCAGGCGCAGGGTGAAAGCGGCGCGGCCTCCCCCGGGGCTCTCCCGGGTGCCCTCGCCTTCATTAAGCGCTTTGGTGATTAGCGAGAAGCCTTGGAAAGCAGAAGATGACGTTGGAAAGCAACTCCCGATCGTTAAAAATAATGTGGTCCTGGAGTTATTAGAGATAGCTGGTTTGCGTGTTGGAGATCTTCCCACTGGTCCCTCAGGCGACGCTTTAAAGGGTTTAATGCTTTTTTCTAGAGGGGCTGAGCCATAATCTGGCGGAATCCCCCTAGAGTCTGAGGGTTTCTTTTTTATTCCCCCCTCCCTCCCCATCCTATTTTCCTCCTTTCTTCAGATTCTGTCTTCTTGTGGCGTGAAGTACATCAGTAGGAGTTGGCTGACACGAACCTCTGGAGGCGAGAAACCCGAAACCAGGCAGGCAGGAAAAGTGACAATCAAAATTAAAATAATATAATTTTTTTTTTCCTAGTAAAGGTTGCCATTAGTTGCTAATGGGAGAGAGGAGGTCTTGATGCATGCGGGTCAGTTAAGAAATCAGATTAATAATTTCAATCGGACAAAATGTTGTTAACTCCATCACTTCACAAACTTGGCCATAATAGTGATAATGAAGCAAGAGCTCTCTGTGTGTGTATAAACAAGTGTATATACATATATATGTAATGTCCCACAAATAGCTGACATTAATAGTAAATTTATGTCCACATCTGTAAAATTTTGGACAGTGTATTGAAACAGGGATAGTTTCTCTGCTGTAAGGGAAGTTTGGATCCTTTTTTCTTTTTAAGTTCCCCCCCTCAGCTTTTTTTTTTGTTTTTTAAATACCAGTTCATTTGAAGGAGTGCGTGTGTGTATGTATGTATGCTATATGTGTGTGTGTACGTATGTGTACATTCCCCAGCGTTCTGCACAATCAGCTGCAGGGGCACGGCCCATCCCAAGTGTGGTGTAGCAAAACCAAGCCTCACCAACTGCCAAACTGGCCCAGCGATTTACTCCTGCCCCCCAAAATGAGGAGGGAAAACCGATCCTTGGAGCCTGTCCCTGAGGGGCAAGGAGACGCCAGGGGGTTTCTAAACACTGCCCATAGGGAGCGGTGGGCGGTCGAGGCCAGCCCAGTCCGGGGCCGAAGGTGCCCGAAGGTGTTAATGCCTCCTCTCATCCCCTCCAGGTGAGGCCGTTCATTTAGCTCGGGATTTTGGGTATATCTGCGAAACGGAGTTCCCAGCCAAAGCTGTTTCTGAGTACCTGAACAGGCAGCACACGGACCCCAGCGACCTCCACTCCAGGAAAAACATGCTACTTGCGACAAAGTGAGTGCCAAATTGACCACTCCGCTGCTTCTGCCCCCTCCCTTTCCTTAAACCGTTCCTCTGAGCTCGTTTTGAAAGCTGATGGAGTTTCCAGCCCCCAGGTTATACCAGACCCGGGGGGGGAAGGATGCTTGTGTCACCTTATAGGGGTAAAGCCTATAGCCTCTGAATCCCTATGTGCTGGGGTTTATGCCAATGCACACTGTCCCTGTAGAGGATGTAGGCGACTATCCCATAGCTACTGTATATCGTTTCCAAGCCACCTCCAGTTCAGCAATTTTTAATGGAAAGGGGACAAAAAAATAAAATCTATGTTTTGCTTCCAGAGCGTCTCTATCTGTCCCTTCTGTTGCCCATAGGCCTGTTTGTCTGCTACCAAATTGCAATGTCTTCTCCATAAGGTTTAAAAAAACAATTGAAAGGGAAAAAAGATAAAACATCAAAACATTTTTTTTAAAAAGAAAATAAAAAAAAAGAAAAAAGGAGAAGAAAGAGTTAAGCAAAAAAAAAGAAGAAAAAAAAAGAAAAAAGAGAAAAAAGAAAAAGGGGGAAAAAAGCAGAAAAAATAACTCACCATGTTCTACTAATGATCCTCCCAACCCATCTCCCTTGGGACTCTGTGGCTGTGTGCTATATTGGGTGATTTACACTTGGCTGTGGCTCCCAGGCTCCTAACTGGGTGCTTCATGGTTTGCTTGGGTCCTCGGTGGTGGGTGCTGTGTGTCTCCACACATCTCCATCTATCTGGCAAAAAACGGGGAGAAAAAGAAAAAAAAAAAGAAATACCAGCCCAAACAGCTCTCATTTATTTCATGCTCTGGGACGTGGCTTGCCGCTGATGACAGCGTAATTTAAAGAAATATATAGAGGGTTGAAAAATCATTTGCTCAAATTTGTCCAGATGTTTTTTAGACGTGATTGGAATTTGATTGCCCTTTTCCGCAGGGTCAGAAGATATTAATGTCCCAGAACTTTAATTGCTCGCAGACCCTGCTTTGCTCTTTGAAGATGTAAAATGTTGGACTCATTACTGTTTGTTCTCCAAATTCAAAGTTTCCTCTCTTGCACTTTCTTAATGGATAATACACATAGAAGTAGACCTTTATCTTTTCCCACCCTCTGAAACCTTTATCCCACCGGGAATTTCAGAGAATTTCAGATGAGAGCTGAATGTTTTTTTTAAGGATTTCTTTTTTATTTCTTGTTATTTTTTCCTTTTCTATTTTTTTTGTCTTTTTTTTTCTCCATTCCCTGTATAGGCATCAGTCTCAAAGGAACTATTCCTTTGGGAACCCCACTAGCCCCCAGGGTTTCTACATTGCCTGGGCACCTGTTGACTTGAAGGTCTTTTGGGCCAGAGCAAAGCAAAAGAAAGCATGTGTGGGAACAACTAATGATAAAAACCAAATCTGATTTTTCCAAGGTGTAGGCAAGAGCCAGAATGTCAACTCTGATGTGTTAATTGGGATGCCACCCCCCCCCCCTCCCCGCCCTAGTACAAAATAGGAAGTTCTCGCTTTGCTCCTTGTGCAATGAAAAAGCCAGCATGGAGAACCCAAGTCCTAATCTTTCTTGACAAGGTGGCCCAGCCTGAGCAGTCTCAGAGGAGGCTTCATTTTGGCCCTTTCCTGCACCATGTCCCTGTGTCACCTGGTCGCTCACAGTGCGTGGTTGTGCTTTCCTCCAGGAACAGCATTGGTGGGAACTGCTTTGAGCCAGAGTCAGGCCTCCAGAAAGACGAGTGGTTGGCAGACCCACGGTGCATCTCCCTTTCAACCTGGTTATTTCTAGAGCCACCAACCAGGACTGGGTTTTCACAATGCTTCAGAAGCATCCTAGTGGCCGCTGGAGAGATTTCTTATCTCCAAACCTGATTTTATCTTGCAATTGCAGAAACTCCTCTCCTGAGGAACATCATCCTGAGCAGGGAGCTGCCGGCTCACCATGGCCGGTCCCCAAGCACTGCTGGTTGCAAGAAGGTCCTCTCATGGTTCTTGGCATCAGCTTTGGCCTGAACCTGCCCCTTCAACCTTTGTTATCTTGGAGAAGTGTGGGATGAGTCTAATCATCGCTTTTCTCTTTCTGTTGTCCTCTCTTTGCCTTTCTCTCTTCCATGCAGGCAACTTTGTAAAGAATTTACAGATCTCTTGGCCCAGGACAGGACACCCATTGGAAACAGCCGGCCCACCCCTATTTTGGAACCCGGCATTCAGAGCTGCTTGACTCACTTCAGCCTCATCACCCATGGCTTTGGGGCCCCCGCTATCTGCGCTGCCCTCACGGCCCTTCAAAACTACCTGACTGAAGCTCTCAAAGGCATGGACAAGATGTTCTTGAACAACAACACTGCTAACAGGCACACATCTGGCGAAGGACCAGGTAGTAAAACTGGAGACAAGGAAGAGAAACACAGAAAATGAGAGAGGGAGAGAGAAAGAGAGAGAGAGAGGAAAAAAAAGATAAAAAGAAAGGAAAAGAAAAAAGTTAAATAAATAAAAGGAGAAAAGAGAGAGATAATCTTTTAAAACAAAAGCGTCTTAATTTTAGCTTTAAAAATATCGGATTGGGCTTTGGAAGAATTCTATTAGGTAGGACAAAAATAATAATAATAATAGTAAAAAATAATAATAAAAGAAAGACAATAATTTAAGATCAGAGGAGCACAATGGCGCAAGACCAGTGGTTCAGAGTCTCTTGCCAGGAACATGTGAAGACAACCACCAGGATTTTTTTCCCACTTCTGTTCTTTCACATTTTTTAAATAATGATTGGGGGGGAGGGGCGGAGGGGAATATAATAATAATTAATAATAATAATAAAAGAAAGAAATGAATAACTTATTGGAAGAAATTGGAGAAACATTTTTGGTGTCAGTGCTTTGATTTCTTGAGCTGCACGGTCTGTCTTGCTATTACCTTTATTTTCTTTTATTTTATTTTTTAATAACGTTCTGTCTCCACCCTAGCTAAAAATGATCTTCCAGAGCCTCCCATTCTGAGAAGCCCCATCACCTCCTTTCCCCCAACCCTTCCCATCCCATCTTACCACCCTGGTTCTGTCTAGACTAGGAAAGGAGGGGAGGCGAGCACACCGACCTCTCACAAAGTCATCAACGGCAGCCAGAACCCGGCGCGGTTGGTGGCAGCATCTCCACATTTGATGCCATTAGGCAGGAAGTTTCAGGTCGCTGTAGCTCAGTCGAATTAGCAAACTCTATTTTTTAAGAACTTTTGTGGTTTTTTTCCTGGTCTAGACAGACTCTCTGTTTAGATTACCAGTGTTTACAGGTGTGTATGGGTGCGTGTGTGCGTATGGGTGCGCATATACATATGCGCACACATAACTTAGTAGGGGTGTGTGTGTATCCTATGTATGTTTATATATACATATGTATATAGCCGGATATATACATATATATATATATACTTAATAAGTGTGTATAGCCACACACATTCATGCATGCAAACATACCTTTGTAATTTAGTACTTGCCTTTGATGGTAAAATGCCTTGTCTATAATGGGTTGCAAAATTTGAAAGTAAGGTCTGGTAAAATGTCAGTGCTATCTGATTTCTGAATTTTCTGAGATCTCCTCTTTTTCTTTAGGGAGTTTTATATTCCTAACTATGCCAATGTCTCAGTCCTTAATTTCCTTGAGTAGTGTGCGTGAGAAAGATCTTCCCCCATTTTTAAAGAACTGTTAACAACAACAAAAAAAATGAGTGATATGAGTATGTAATTTTTTCTCAGGAGTATGCACTATTTTATTTTCTTCTGTTTCCTAAAGCTTTGCCCGCTTGGCTTATGAGCTTCTTCAAAGAGGACTAGAGATCCCTACACAATATATCAGGTACAGAGAAAAAAAATCCACAATTCTGATATTCTGATACTTTTCTTTTTTTTTTCCTTTTTTTTTTTTCCTTTTTCAAATCAAAGCCATTTGTTTCGGAATTCTGTAGGTGCACTTCTTTAAAGAAGCTCAAAGGGAATAATTTGAATGAGATAAAAAAATAGAAGTTGAAATCGAGGTGTAATATTGAAAAGAAAATAAGAGCTGTGTTGAATGTTACCACGCGTGCTTGGCACTAGGGTTTTGTACCCAGGGAGGAAAGGGTTGCCACGTGAGCTGGCTCCTCGTGATGGGAGCGGGGAGGGTTTGCCAGGGAATATCCTGATTTCTGAGCTCAGTCTGAGGAAATCTGTTTCTCTTAGGAAGCTTTTCTTTTTAAAAAATGTCTTGTGACTCTTGCTTTAGAACAAGTCAGTGTGGTAGGGGGGAGAAAACTTCTTAACTCCAATGTTTTTCTCTGTGGTTTGGTGTGTGACAGGATGTCTTATGCATATGATTTGGGGGGGCGGTGGAGGGAAAGTCTGATTTCTTTCCTTTTTTTTTTAAACATACATTTCTTTGTCTTCTATGATAAAATAATGCTGAAGTGTAAGGATATGAATTTCTGCTTGGATTCTGCCACATTGGGTAATTGCATGTGTTTCTCAGCGGGGCAGGGTTTGTGTACTAACACATCTTTTTGCGTATGTCAGAATGGTTACTGGGGAGGGGATAAATCTCCTGGAGTCACTGGCAAAACTCCAGTGTGGTCAGGGCTCCCCCCAGGTCCCTTCTTAAAGGACTCGATCCCACCACCCCAAGCAGGCGCACCTGAACTCAGAACAAGGAGAGGGACAAATGAGAAGCCTTAGGCTTGGTTTTGGTTTCTAGATATCTTCCAAAGTGGATGGTAGGGGAGAAATCATTCAGTATTACTCTCCACAGCAACCAACAACGTTTTCTTAAAACAAAAAAAACAAATGAGCCTCTTGATTGTCACCCTTAGTGTCCTTTGCTGCTTGAGAAGTGGCTACAGCTGAGGGTCTGCTTCACTTTCCGAACCTTTGTCCAGCAAGCAAAGGTCTCGGTTCTTGTCCTCCATCTGTAAGTTGGACATGTGTGTGGCAATAGAAACCCAGGAATCATCCAGCACCAAGGAGCACTGACCCCTCTGAAGCTGCTCCTCAGTCATGTATCTTTGGTTCTTCTGGGGCAGAGTGCTGTGGGGATCCTCACGTGAGAAAAGGAGGAAACTGAGGAAAACAGCTTTCTCTACGGGCTGCTGGGATGAGTAGGAGATAGCCTCCAACCCTGGCAGGTCCCTGGCAGTGGGTTTGGCAACTAGCACACCCCAGCGGATGTCACCAGATGTGGATCCATGGATCTCATAGAACTCCCACCTGTAGGTTGGGGACCCTCAGACTGAAAAGCAGGCCCCAGGCAACTTCTGGTCCTCCAAAGCCCACCCTTTACCAACCACCCCCAATTACAGTAAGCTCCAGAGGAAGGGCAATCCGAGCTTCAGTGCAGGGCATGGCCAACAGGTGATGTGCAGAAAAAGGAAAGGGTATGTGTGTGTGTATCTGAGGAGGAATGAATGGCACCACCTGAAAGCACATCTCCTTTCTCTGCCCAATGAGAATATTCCCTTTATTGAAGTAGAGAACAAAGTGTTGAACATTGCTTTGCTTGCCCTCTGCAAAAAACCTTTGTAAGGATCCCATGAGTCCAGCCAGCCCTTCAGCATCACTCAGTTCATTGAAGTTCCTGAGAGTGGGGAGATAGCTCTCAGTCTTTCGCAGCCCCTGCTGCACACACACCTTTCAGGTGAAGGCTCTGGGGGCGTGCTGGGGATGGTCCTTCCTTGTCTTTGAGGTGATGGTGGGGATGATCCCTCCTTGTCTTTGAAGGGATGTTGGAGATGCTCCTTTTAACCGCAGAAGACAGTATCCCACCACCACTGTGAGTTAATGAGGAGAGGGAACCACTTACAACTTTCTGGGGAAAGAGCTGCACAGACATGTGCATAAGCACAAGCATGGGTGAGGGCCTGATCCTGCTGCTGGTGCTGAAATCTTCCCTAGGCACAGGTTTGGTCACCTGGATCAGAACCTAAATCTTGAGAAGGTTGAGAGAAGAGTTTCAGTTGACTCCTGGCAACTTTGGATCTGCCCCTTGTGCCTTCTACCTGGAAGAGACAGACTGCAAAAGCCAGGCTGCACTTCGCTCAGGCCAAATAAAGTCAAATGCAAAATTCCCATTGATTTGGGTAAGACTCCTCTCGTATGCTCCCCAAAGAACAGAGACAAAATCCATGAGGCTTCTGATTTAAATGCAAACAGGGAGAAAACATGGCATAGGTGTATCCCACCTCACTGTCTTCCCCTTAGCCTAGGTCCCAAGAGGGGACATCCATTGCTCAATGGCTCCTATCAGTCCTGAGGTCTCCCAAAACCTAAACTCCCAGCCTCCTGCTGGAAGGCATCTTCCTGCTCCCCTGCACTTTCCCAGCTTGACTACTTGTGTTGGCGGGACACCTCAGACATTTATCTGATAATTTGAGTTACTAGAAGATTTGGTTTCCTCGGGATCATAAATCAATAAACTGAAGGATTAACACGGCAGCTTTGCTTTTTAACTCAAGGAAAAAGTTTGAGGAGAGACCGTGAAAAGTTTGTTTTCAAACCAAACAGGTGGGTTGCTGTAAATTTTATTTAATTCTTAGTCTGACTTTTTTTAATAACAATTCTCTATTTTCCATTGGAAAGATCTTTGGTTTTGTATGCTCCCTGACTTTTTTTTTGTTGTTTGTTTTCCTGGTTGTTATTCACACAAAGTGTGAAGGAAACAAGAAGCCAATTTGATGGGAATCCTTTTACAACCCGATGATTTCTTGAAAATCGGGTGTGTCTTGTCCCACCTAATAGAAATTCTCTGTGAGAAGCTGTTTCAAGTCCCTTTGCATCCCAGACCAACCTCTCCCAACATCCCCAAATTCATATTTGGGGCTGGGAGATGGGGGGGAAGGATGGCTTTAAGACCTTTAGCTGTGCCCAGAGGGCTTATTCCCTTCCCCTGCTCATCTCTTTCTGATCCCTTTATCACACAGACCTGGTCGGCTCTGTTTTAATACGTTTCTCGGAGAATTTGGTGCTCGTTTCAGCTGCCATAACCATTGCCAGTTCGATCCAGCCCAGCTCCCCCCCAGTCCGGCTTCCCTGTGTGAGAGAGACCGTAGGCTTTTTACAAATAGTATATTTTCTTATGCAAAAGGAAAAAAAAAGTCAAAGCAAATATCCCCGAACACACTGGCAAACACCTGAACATTTTGAGAGAGACGTAACATTGTGTGCCAGCGAGAAATAAAAGAAAAAACAAATTGCAAAGCTCTGAAAAAGCGAATGAGAAACTGGAAAGATGAAAGGAAAAAAAAATTAAAATTCTCCTTTTATGCCCCAAACGACCCCTTTCACCTCCTCTTCTTGAAAAATCTGACCATACAGTGAGAAATATCAGTTTATCGACTCTTCCTGAGAAGAAATGTGGAGAGGCATTCAGTATTGAGTTTGTATATATTTATTTATGCTTAAT